ATACAGGACTACTCACATTTGTGTTTATACAGATACAGGACTACTGACAATTGTGTTTATAGAGGTTAATGACTATTAGTGGTGTAAAGTTTGATCTTCTGTATATCTGTTGAATTGGTCTGATTATTTCATCTTGAAATCAGTTTTACAGATTACATAGTACACATGGATTGAAATTGAAATGATCTTTATCTAAATACTTGACTTTGGTGTTTTTCTTACAGCTAAGCCTCGTGGTGATGGGGAGAAGCCGGACGAAGGCTGGACAACGGTCAACTATAAATAGACGATGGATAAATGTGACGTACATCACCACTGCAATACCCTTAATTTTATTCTGATTATCGTGTCAATTATAAGCTGAAATAAATCAATAAATTCCTTCTTTATTGAAAAATGAACAAAGAAGCTTTTGAATGTTAGGTGAATGGGGATTAAAACCTACGGTGAAGTCACAGAAATCATGGTGAATGGGGATTAAAACCTACAGTGAAGTCACAGAAATCATGGTGAATGGGGATTAAAACCTACGGTGAAGTCGGTGAAATCATGGTGAATGGGGATTAAAACCTACGGTGAAGTCGGAGAGATCACGGTGAACGGGGATTAAAACCTACGGTGGAGCGGAGAGATCATGGTGAACGGGGATTAAAACGTACGGTGAAGTCGGAGAGATCATGGTGAACGGGGATTAAAACCTAAGGCATTCATTAGGTTGATATAAATGCATACAAATGTATTGATTGACTCCATATTTTTGTGAATAGATAACACTTTGAAATAAACTATGTATGGTATTTGAAATATGGCTTTGTTGTGTCCCCAGTGTATATGGATGATATAGGAAGAATTATTGCATCAGTTGGCTAATTTTATAAATAAACAACAAGAAATTTCAGAATAACTATTCAGAAAATATTTCAACTACAGATATGACAGGTTATTCAATTTCTAACCACCCAAATAGAAATGGGTAGCCTCAGTTGAAATATTTTACAACCACTGTCTGAATAAAGCAGAATGCTTAAGTGATTGAGTGGTTAAGGCATTTGACCTTCTATGATCACTTTGACCACTGGGGCGTGAGTTTGTGTTAAGGTGTTTGACTGTCTATGATCACCTCGACCACTGGGGCGAGGGTTCGTGTTAAGGCGTTTGACTGTCCATGACCACTGGGGCGTGAGTTTGTGTTAAGGCGTTTGACTGTCTATGATCACCTGGACCACTGGGGCGAGGGTTCGTGTTAAGGCGTTTGACTGTCTATGACCACTGGGGCGAGGGTTTGTGTAAAGGCGTTTAACTGTCTATGATCACCTGGACCACTGGGGCGAGGGTTTCGTGTTAAGGCGTTTGACTGTCTATGATCACCTGGACCGTTTGGGCGAGGGTTTTGTGTTAAGGCGTTTGACTGTCTATGATCACTTGAACCACTGGGGTGATGGTTTGTGTTAAGGCGTTTGACTGTATGATCACCTGGACCACTGGGGCGAGGGTTTTGTGTTAAGGCGTTTGACTGTCTATGATCACCTGGACCACTTGGGCGAGGGTTTGTGTTGAGGCGTTTGACTGTCTTTGATCCCTGGGGCGTGAGTTTGTGTTAAGGCGTTTGACTGTCTATGATCACCTGGACCACTGGGGTGAGGGTTAATGTTGAGGCATTTGACTGTCTATAATCACCTCGACCACTGGGGCGAGGGTTTGTGTTAAGGCGTTTGACTGTCTATGATCACTTGGACCACTGGGGTGAGGTTTTGTGTTAAGGCGTTTGACTGTCTATGATCACTTGGAACACTGGGGTGAGGTTTCGTGTTAAGGCGTTTGACTGTCTATGATCACCTGGACCACTGGGGTGAGGGTTCATGTTGAGGCATTTGACTTTATAATCACCTCGACCACTGCGGCGTGTGTTCCAGGCTTATGTTAAGCACTTTCCAAACTTGCTTGCATCTTTTCCATTTCAAAACTTTGCTTTCTGACCCACTTTTAATATATGTCTATGCACTGGCTATCGAGACTCCATTAACAACATGGGCCATGCACTGTCTTTACAATTAATGATTAGTGTTTTAAATAATAAGTAGTTTTTCGCTCACCTGGCACGAAGTGCCAAGTGAGCTTATGCCATGGTGCGGCGTGCGGCGTCCGTCCGGCGTCCGGCGTCAATATTTTACTTTAAACGACTTCTTCTTAATAACCAAAAGGCCTAGGGTGATGATATTTGGCCAGAAGAAAACTGGGATGAAGGGCTACAAAGTTTGTTAAAATTAATGACCTTCAGCCATTTTCAAGGTCACAGGGGTCAAATATGTGAAAAACTTTAAACATCTTCTTCTCGATAACCAAACTGCCCAGGGAGATGATATTTGGCCAGTAGCATGCTTGGGTGAAGGGCTACCAAGTTTGTTCAAATGAATGACCTTCAATTATATTCAAGGTCACAGGGGTCAATTGTCTTAAAAAACCTTTAAACAACTTCTTCTGAATAACCAAA